TCAATGGTGGTGCAAGCTTCATCGGTAAGTAAATAACAAGTTCTGGGCAATATTTTAAAACAAAAATAAAGTGATGAGTATTCTTAAACTTGGTTTTATATTATGGATTTTTCTTCTTTAGATTTCTTCTAAATTCGAGGGCTATGGTTAATCATTTTTTCTCCTACCAACTCATACACATTTCATATAGGATTTCCATCAAGTTTCGTGAAGAAATTGATTCTTGAAAAGCTCTAGATTTGGCTTCCCAAAAAGAGTGTCTAGATTTATTCCGACGAGTGGAACTTTGGAAGGTTATAACTTGAGCTACAGACAAGGTATGAAATTGGTCTCTACTTCTTCCTTGAAACTTCATCTAAACGTTTCGCGAAGAAATTGAATCCATTCGAGATCTATATAAAGCTTTACAAGGGCAAAATGAGTGGTATATGATAATTAAAAAGGAAGAAGATGAAGTCCAAAGTCAAAGGTCAAACTTGGACCAATAAAAGTCAAAGGTAGCCATATGTTGACCTTTCTACATTTTTTTTCTATCAAAATATTTTTTGTTCCTAAAACTAGACTCAAAGATCAATTTAATAAAGAAAATTTGGAGCAATTTGGATTTTGGATGCTCGAGGATTGAGGACCTGAATATCAACAACGAGTTAAGTAGTCATCTTGAACTTTTCTTAAGAAATACTTGTAGGAATCACTTCGATTTCTGTATGAATCTTAAAGCAGGTATGAATTAAGGGTATATGAAAGAAAAACACCAAGAACCGTGAGTTAAGGCCTTGAACCGATCAAATTACTCAGGATTTAAGTAACATTAAAATAATCTGCTAAATGAACTCCGTTGCTTATAAAATTTGAATTTTGAGTATATTATAGCATGTTGAGATTATATATGAAATTTGGTGGTCATTGGATAAGGTTAAGTAGGTAAACCAAGAAATAGTATAAAATGACCATAACGCCCTAAGGTAATTTACCTTCCGTTCATGACCTATGATGTTTGATGATGTTGCAAAGTTTGCAAGCCATTAGAACATGTTAAGTAGCAAAACCAAGAATTCGGGGTAAAATGACCAAAATGCCCTAGGTCTACTTATAATCTTTCAAGGTCTATACGTGCTCCAAATGACCTATTAATAAGGCCTATTCTTAAAGACATTAAGATATGTTTGAGATTTCAAGTTTGGAACCTAAACCAAGTTAGGATCCAGAAACACCTCAATACCAAAGACTCTTCTAGAACCCTCTAAAAAATTTATTATGACTCTATGATTTTCTAGAATAACTTATGTGTGTTGATAGGTACATATGTTTATAAATGCATGTCACAACTTACATTTCAAGGAATTAAGAACCTTAGAAACTTATAAGATAGAGAACCAAAAACAATACCGCATAAGCTCTACAACTACCAAAGTAAGAAGAATGTTAAGTAGCACCGAAGAATAAGGAACAAATGTCCGGCATACAAACTCAAAAATGCTAGGTAATAATCTAATCATGTCCAATTTTGACCCATGACCTCCCACCAAGCACTGCTTTCAAAGGTCCATGTTTTCCTCTTATAGATGTGAGAATATTTGCTAAAACCACTCTACCTAAATGATGTGATATTCTCTATTTATAATCATCAAATAAATTACAAAAGAAATAGAAAGTGCAATAAATGAATACAATATATTTTCCTATAATAAAATATCAAATATCATACCTAGGTAAACTGTAATGGAAGACTAAATATTATAAAAGATATTTTCCTATAATAAAGATCACAGAGGTATCTATAGTAAACGAAAGACAAAATATTCTGAAACATACAGTATATTTGCCTATAATAAATGGTCAAATATGATATATATGGTAAATCATAATTAAAGACTAAATATCCTTAACATCCCCGCGAGTTAAGCATTGGATTTGAACGCACGCGAAGCTTAGATCTGAAAATTCAAAGAGTAGAATTAGGAGAATCATCCGCAGTTAGGTGTTGAGAAATAACCATGCGGAATGGACAATAGAGACGCAAGGTAGAGACTTCAGAATTAGGGTGATTACTCTATTATGAGAACAGGCAAAAGAGAGAGAGGGATTAGGGCCATGACTATATTATGAGAAAATGGCAAGAGATAGAGAGAAGGTTCAATGGTGGTTGTGAAGAAGAAAGGGTGGATGTGGTGACAGACAGAACAAGAGAGGAAGAAGAGGGTAGAAACTGAGAATGTGGACTTTAGGGTATATTTTAGATGAAGGAAGAAAGAGAGGGGCGGAGATGGAGTGGGGTCTGTGCCTTGTGGACTGGTTTTCTATCGAGGAAATGAGCACGAGTAAGAATATCTCGAGCATATTTTGCAACTAGAGTTTATGTTGGTGACTCTGAAGGAGCAGTAGGAGGAGCCGGTGGAGAAGTAGTCAGTGCCATAGCAGGAGGTGAAGTTCCAATGGATGGAGAGAGAGCCACGCCCCCGGAGTAAGGGACAAAGACGGTGTTAAAGTCGAAAGAGTTGTCGTAGTGGGCGAAGGAGTTGCTTTTGGCAAAGAGGCTGACGGCGACTTGGTTAGCAAAGAGGCAAGTGCAACGCCTGGGGCCTAGCCCAAAAAGCTGGTGATTAAAATGACAAGGACGACGATGACAAAGGCAGAAGAGGAAGCCATAGTCGTGAAGAATACAAAGAGAAGAAAGAAGAAGACGAAAATGGAAGATGGAAGGGAAATTTTAGTTGCCAAGGTCGAAGATGAGAGGTTTCTGGTTCCAGGTAATACCAATTTTAGTTGCAAAGGGTGGGCCTGCAAGGGATGATTTGTTAGGAATTACGACTCTCCACAATAGTATGATAATTGTCCACTTTGAGCATAAGCTCTCAGGGCTTTGCGCGTTGGACTCTCCCAAAAGGCCTCATACCAATGGAGATCTATTCCTATGATCAACCTCCAAATTAGCAAATGTCAACCTCTAAATTCTCAAATCCAAGTTTTAAGGACAAGAACCATATTACTAAGGCCCTTAGATCAGAACCCAGATTTCAAAATCCAAGGACTAAGGTCCTCCGGATAAATCATGATAAGAACCCACAAGCCAAGAACAGAACAAGAAAAGAAAGAGTGTGATACACTAATATATCAAGTACACGATTAAGAGCTTATAAGTAGGCTATTTTTCATGTTTTTCAGGTTAACAAGGAGCTAGTTGAGGTTGAGAGCAGACTCTAGAGCAGGTGTCATAGACAAGTATCACCCGTTGTCCTCTCACACTTTTGTTTTATATTGTTTTGTGTCTATTTCTTATTTTGTGTTTTAACTATTGTGTTGTATTCTAAATGGTTGATATATGCCTCTAGCTTCAAAGTCTGCTCCTATTCTTGACCAGCTTCTAGTTACCTGAAAAATATAAAAAGCATGGAGTGAGTACAAAAACTCACCAAGTAACCTACTTATAGGCTCTTGATCGTATCCTTAAGCTAAGGTACTATAACTTATTCAGTTTTCAAGGACTTAGTATATAAAGCTTATCTTGATTCGTATCACATAGTCAATCTAAAAACTTTCCCTAAATTAGCCTTTAAATCTCTCTCATGGTCACATGAATGGTGCAACTTGATCATGCATCCTGCTAATAATACCTAATTCGGTAAGGCAAAACAGGAGGCCCATCATGATATCCTTCTCAATGCATATGGTGTAGGGCCTCCTACCTAGAAAAAGAATTAGGGCATCTTAATACACCATGTGATGGGATATAATGGTCACCTCAAGGTATAGTCTCTTCAAGGCATTCGCGACTGAACAAAGATACATGACCCATCTCTTTTACCAACTTGGCCTCGTGACCAACCTGAACCAGAAGCATGACCTGAACCTGATCGGTTGACCCACGACTGCAACAACTCTCGCGCATATTATTCACACATGATAACGCACGTGAAATCAACCCTTGGCATGTGAAAATGCATGTAACGCACGTGTGTCTGCTTTTGATATGTCTGGTTTTTGTTTGCTAGTTTTTTTTGTCTCGATACTGATAAAAACAACATATTTTTATGTGAATTAGGTCCTACGAGAGGAAGTTCAATTTATTTATTTATTTTTTTTGACACCCTCCTGGTGAAAAATCGTAGTCAGGAAGACACACGAATTGTAAGACCATGTATAAGTAGCTTAATTGTTGGATGGGTTTTGGGGTCGTGTCCCCCAAACGAGGATTACTTTATGGTCTTGTGGGAGGTATAAGCTAACCTCCCAAGGATGAACAAAAGCCACGTAAAGAGGGTTACTTTATGGTCTTGTGGGAGGGGGTAAGCTAACCTCCCAAGGATGAACAAAAGCAACCTCCCAAGGATGAACAAAAGCCCCGTAAAGAACGTGATATTGTCTCACTTTGTTATACTATCTTTCCCGACCATTACAACTAAATCCTTCTAATTGAATTTACATGTTGAACTTGTTCTTACCATCAATAAATAATTTAAAGAATTCATTAATGGAGTATATAAACATAATTATCATTATTAATAATAACAAGAATACGAAGCATGATTGACGATAAGAATGAATGAAATCTCAATTCAAATTTAAATGAATATGTAAAGGGATGTAAGGATGTTAATCCAAATGAGTACTGGTGAGAGAGATTTTAGAAAAAATACGGAGGTGACATGTTAATTGTTCACCACAAAATTATGTGCCCCAAGAAAGGCAGAGTTATATTGAAATATGCTATAATATTGTCGGGCACAAATTCTGGTAATTTTGATTTGAGCTCCTCCAAATATACTCTATACTTATAAATGTATGATCATCTTCCCAACAATGCGATAAGATAGAGTGCATATTTGTTTGGGTCGAAGAAGGACCATGTCCTAAAATGGCTCGAACAAGAAAATCAAACGTCTATGATGCTCTAACCCCACCACCCACCAATGTTTTCTAATCTTTTATTCTTTCACAAATATGGATATTATCAAATCAATTCCTCCTCGCCCCCACCATATTTAATCACATTTCCAAAAGGATAAAACATCACAAAAATGTATTAACTCCAATTCCATTAATATTTACATGAAAAGGGAGGGGGGAAATTAAGATGTTCATGTCACGGTTCATCTTATTATAATATTAATTCATTTACTTTATTTACCGCCGTCGGGATACTTCAACCGTCAGTGGATTCGCCATCTCACAAGACAGCTTGAGTTTCTCACACAAGTCAACGCCGTCGTTTTGCCACCATTTAAACTCATGTAACAGAGTAGCTACCCAGAATGTTACAGTAGTCCACGCGAGTGCCTTTCCGGGGCAACTCCTTCGACCCGACCCAAATGGAGCCAACCTTAGATCCGAACCCATAATCGGAAACTCCACCCCACAACACTTATTCCCCACAAACCTCTCAGGCATAAACTCCTGTGGGCTCCACCAAACCTCTGGGTCTCGTGCTATGGACCACATGTTAACCATTGCAGTGGTCCCACGCGGCACGTGATGCCCATCCACCATTGTATCACTTCTGGCTAATCGGGCCCATGATAGAAGAGGCCCAGGTGGGTGTAGCCTCAGAACTTCCTTAACCACCGCCGTTAGATATTCCAACGACGGAATGTCGGATTCCACGACGGCGCGTGATCTACCAACCACTTTATCTAATTCCTCTTGTACTTTCTCCTGCTCCTCCTTGTGAACCACCATCCTCGCTAGGGTCCACTCTATCAACACAGCCACCGTGTCCGTCCCTCTAAATATCATTTCCTATATATATATATATATATAATATATTATTTTAATAAAAATGTGTTTTCGAAAAATTAATTAATAAATAAATCATTTAATTACCCAAAGAACGGCGATGATATCGGAATCGGAGAGATTTTCGGTTTGTTGAAGAGAGAGAAGAACGTCGACAAAATCCATGATTTGTTGGGTTGATTTGGACCGGTGATCGGCGATGATCCGGTTTAGAAACCGGTTCACTTTGGGGACCAACCGGGAGCATCTGAACCGGATTCGCTGTGGGTCGAGATCACCCAAAAAGGGGAGATGGTCGGACCAGTTGAGAAGGCCCAATAAATCGTAACCTTCGTCGACGAGGCTCTTGAGTTGCTCGATTTCATTATTTGAGTCCGAGAGATTGTAAGCCTGGCCGAAGACTGAGCCCATCATGTGGTTCAAAGAGGCTCGCTTGAGCGTGTCACGAACTTGGTGACGAGACGAGGTGTTGTTGTTGTTAGCGAAGATTGCGACCATTTGGGAAGCGATTTGGCGGCGTTGGAATTCGGAGGATTTAATTTGTTTAGGACAGAAGAGATGTTGTGAAGCAATACGTCGGAGTGTCCGCCAATAGACGTCATAAGGGGCAAATCCAATGGCGCGATTGAACATCAAGGAGTAGGCAGATTCCTTAATCGGACGGTCCGCAAAGACCGAGCTGTTGAGGATTTCTTTAGCCACATCCGGGTTACACGTGACAATCACGCGAGTGTTGGCGAGTGAGAAGGCCATGAGTCGTGTGGCGCCTAGGGATTTGGCCATGGCGGCTATTCGGTGGTGGGCCAGTCCAGTCATGAGGGTCATGCTACCGATGACGGGGAGGCCTCTTGGGCCAGGGATGGTGGTGGTGGTGGTGGAGAGAGGGGAATTGCGGCGGCACCGTGGGTGGCGGCCCCAAGCAGGGCCGCCAGGATGGGCCCAATGGAAAATGGAAACAAGAAACCAAATTAGGCATAGGAAGAGGAAGAAGTAAAGGATGTTGGGTTGGGTGAGAGGAGAGCATTTAGAAGCCAAAGCGAAGACCCAGAGGCTTTCGATTTCAGTACTCAACGACATGGTGGTTGGGAGAGAGACGAGAGAGGCCGTTGGGTTTGGGGTGGAGGGGGAAGAAGGTAGGTGGTGGGTTTTATATAGGGGAAAAATTAAATTAAAAAAACATTACTCGGGGAAATTTAATTAAAAAATAGCCAACAAAATTATAATTTATATATACGGGCCGAGGGGGGAGTATGATGTTATATAACCAAAATTAATTTAATTAATTAATTTATTTATTTACTATATAGTTTTTGATCCAATACGGCCGCCTTGCCAGTTCCATTGCATGACGACATATCAGAAAGCAAATTTCCGACAATAAGAGCGCGTGAAACACACGCGATCTTTTGTGCTTTACTGTTCTAGTATATACACATAAGGATGAGAGATCAACCCACGCCATCTTTCCAATGTCTGTCTCTAATATTTCTGTGTCACATTATTTGTATTATTTGTATTAGCAAGAGGTTGTCCAACATAAAATTGTTTTAAACAAAGCATACTTAACTATTGAGTTCTTATAATTGATTTAGTGATAAAAAAAACTGCATCTCGTTGGTATAGATAGTAACTTTCAATTTTTTTAAAGATTTTTTTAATCATTCTATCATCTGGACCGCTCTCATTTAGATGTGGTCTTGTTTATTTATGTTTCTCTTGTTTACTCAAGTGCACATTTAACTATTGAGTTCTTATAATTGGTCTACTGATAAAAAAACTACATCTTGTTAATATAGATAATAACTTTCAATTCTTTTAAACTTTTCTTAATCATTCTATCATCAGGATCGCTATCATTCGAATGTGGTCTTGGTTCATTTATGTTTCTTTTGTTTACTCAAGTGCACATGTTCAACTATTACAACCTTATTTTTTTCTAATAAAGTAGAAACGACACTAAACGCATGACATATCTATTATGCAGGAAAAAATTCATTTAATAAATGACTTCATGGACTTGAACGTGCGTAAAATCATTTCAAATAAAAGTAAAATCAATAAAATAGCAGAAACGAAATAACATTAAGATCAAAGCAATGGAAATGCATTGACCTTTAAGGGGTCATAATTTAAACATAAATGCAACTATCCGAACTTGTGGCCTCCACAACGTTATTGTCATCGGTAAAGGGGAGGCTTAACTTTACCTGAAAATAAAAACAATACGTGGCTTGAGTATTCTAAGAAATGCTCATTAAGTAACTCCTTTGTTGCTATCCAAAAATGCATACATAGACAATCATGATGGGACCTATGCTTTCATAAAAATATTTCATGGCCTTGAACTCTGATGTCTAATCTAGATGAAAATTGGACGTGTAGTACTTCTCTACACACGACTCATGGACACATGCATGGACCTACCAGGTAGGTATATATGTATCCCCAAGGTCTGCCCTTTAGCTAGCGCACACTCACTCTGTTGGAAGCCACAAAAAGAAAGGAACCCACATAATATCATGACGTGGATAATATTTTAATGTATCGTCTATACTACCAATCATAATGAAGAAGTATCCCGATAAAAGTGACATACAAAAATGTATGAGATCCTCGTAGCTTTCAATTATAGCATAAGCTTATATATATATATATATATTACTTGTCATAACTTTCATAATTTCACGCATGGCTTTCTAATGTCTAATACATGTACATCATTCTTGTAAGCATAGTTTACATGGTGTGATACATGGAGATTTATGCATGATAAATATGATTTCACACCGTAGTATAATGATATTATAACACAACTTATAACATGACATGACATAACATTACATAGTATAGTATAACGTAATATGACATGGCATAGCATAACATAACATGACATTAACATATCATAACGTAGCATAATACAACATACCACATGTCAGAACAATCATAACCATGAGATGTGTTGATACGTCACAAAATTTATCCAAACAAGTCAACATTACATGATTGGTCTAAGTCGGAGTTACTAAATATTTGTTGGCTTGAATCTACTCTTCAAAATTCGATACAACCTATATGGACCCCACGATATCGATTAGTCAAATCATGTTTTTTTTCAATAAATTTAATAAAAACATTATAAATTGGACCAAATAAATAAAATAAAATAACTTGAATCTACGCCTACACATTGCTCAACTTGGCGAAAAAAAAATCAATTAAGTTGAGTTTGCAACTTTAATTAGAACATTGAATTAGTAAGTTAGGTATATCATATGGCAATTTCAACCCTTCTTTCAATATTAATTTGACGATTCCATTCAACCCATGTTCTTGATCAAATTGGCAACAAATAAGATTATTCAAAAATATGATATTATGAAACTAATGCAATCAAATTATTCGTACAAATAATTTTGAATTTGGAATCAATTGGACCATATTATAAATAATTATATGGCAATGATTCTTTTATAAAAGTTGTTTAATTTTGTTGATTCCAATTCATATCTTCCAAATGGAGAGGAAGATGACTTCACAAAGCACCACCTAATCCATCCTATACATTAGGTTATATATATATATATATTATATTATGATACGTTAGGATGCTGATGCATTATAATGTGATGACATGAGATGCATGATCATGAAATGACATCACACGATAATATTGCATGTTACGAAATGTGCATGTATGAATGTCATATTGTATTATGATGAGTTTTCTAGTACACAACTTCTAAATGATGAATGTATGAAGACTTATGCATCCATGTTACCTAAAGTAATATGAGGAGGATGTGTGGAGTTGTGTCATATGAATGATTTAAAATTAAAAGTATAGGGATCTTAGGCATATTCTATGTTCATTTACATTGGGATACTTCTCCTTTTATGATGATAAGTATGAACGTGTACACTATGATGATAATGATAATCATGTCTTGCATGATATTTGAGGATTTGTTCAGACGTCCGACAACAACCAATTAGCCTGACTATGATGGGCCCAGAGGGTGGGCGAGCCGTCTAGTGGAATCATGCTTGCACGTGTGGATCAAGATTAGGACCTATCATTTCCAAAATCTTACAACAACATCACTCGTTTTAAATTATTTGAAATGGTTAGAAGTCTAAATATCTAAAATAAAATATTATAAGAGAGTTCTGCCAAAATTATTTCGTTAATTTCTAATTCCTCTTTCTTCCTCTCGTCATCATGTGCTTCCACCAACGATAAAATTTTAATATTCAAATTGTTTCCCATCGCTTGCACGCTATCCTTCAAAAAAAAAAAAGAGAGAGAGAAAAAAATAATAATAATCGATAGGAATCACGACTCTCCACAATCGTATGATATTATCCACTTTGAGCATAAGCTCTCGTGGCTTTGTGAAGAGTCGTGATTCTTAATATGCTATCAGAGTCATGCCCTTAACTTAGTCATGTCAATAAATCCTCAAAAGTCGAACAAATAAGTTGTGAGTCTCGAAAGTGTAGTCAAAAGTGACTTAAGTGTCGAACAAATGATGTATTTTGTTTGAGAACTCTAGAGAAAGAGTCGAGCCTCGATTAAGGGGAAGCTATTCAAGAGTTTTATAGGCTTCAAGGGAGACTCTACAGTCTACTTTATTCGATGGGAGAATTGTTGAGAATTATTGAGAGGGAGTCCCGTTGACTAATTTAGGAAATGATCATAGGTTTATAGGTGAGGAATACATCTCCATTAGTATGATGATGTTAAAATAAGCTCTCAATTTTCGATTACCACAAGACCATATCACAAAAGATGATATAATCCTCACGAACACAGATAAACAATTTACATAGGACCTAATATATAAACCAAAGCAATTCTCATGCACACAAATAAGTAATTACTACTTCACATACGTGTCAATAGGTAATCTCACGTTCTAGTGTAATTTTGCGATTCTCGTGCACACAGATAGACAATTTTTTTAGTTAACATACATACAAAAGGTCCCACAACATTTCATAAAGATCAATTTCAAGTCTGTATAACATCCATAAAAATTTGCACATCAATACACAAAACAATCAAATATGCACATATCTAATAGCAAAAAAGTACGAGTTACTTGGAATCGAAGCCAAAATTGCTACAATCCTCCTTAATTAATATTAATAGAAATTTGAACTTATGTATATAATTCTCTAAAAACATTCAAAATTTTAGGTATGGAAATGAAATGATTATGAAAAAAACTTTAAAAATTGGGTCTGGTCCAAAGATGCATAAGATTAACAAAGAAACAAAAACCCTTTTATAGATAGAGATAGATAGAGATAGATAGAGATGGATAGAGATAGATAGCAAGAGATGCTCAACTTTGGAGAAGAACCCACTTCGTGTTATATGTTGATAGCACTTTATAAAAAGGAAGGGCACACCCAAAACCAAAGTGCAACCAACTGGATTTTTTCATATTCCCTCTTCCTTTCTCAGATTTTATTCAAAATATTAAAAATAAATGCTAAACCAACTTGTTTCACAAATATTCACCACCCAAACCCTTGACATAGACCTTCCTTTTTCCACACATTTTTTAATCACTTAACTCACTCTTTCCCCCCGTAAACCCATCGGTGCTCGACAGCTCATATAACAACAAACCAAGCCCACCATTAGTAGATATTGTCTTCCTTGGACTTAAAACGTGTTTGGTAGAGAAAAGTTGTCACACCCTTATAAAGGGTGTTTACTCCCCTTCCGGGCGTCCCGTGTCTACCCCTCTTTGGGGAACAGCCTCCTCGCTGGCACATCGCTTGGTGTCTGGCTCTGATACCATTTGTAACGGCTCAAGCCCACCGCTAATAGATATTGTCATTTTTGGGCTTTCCTTTTCGGGGTTTCCCTCAAGACCACACCCTTACAAAGAGTGGTTCGTTCTCCTCCCCAGTCGATGTGGGATATCACAACACACCCTTTGATCCCATACATATTTGTATATACATCTAAAAACAATAAAACTTTTAGGGTTTATATTTCAAAGATCATATCTTTTATTAATCCTAGGTGTGCTTAGTTTATGAACTTAATCACATGATTAACTAAATGATAATGAATTATTAATTTAGGAAGAGTATCTCAAAAGCATTATTAATATTTT